ACCTCAACATCCTTCTTGTAGTGAGGGGCCCAAAACTGAACACAGTATTCGAGGTGCGGCCTCACCAGTGCCGAGTACAGGGGCACGATCACTTCCCTACTCCTGCTGGCCAATGGAGTTAAGTTCCTCATACATATAATTTGCACCATGCATCAATATAACCTAACATCTTTATGTCTTAGGGCATACAATCTCTCAGTGACTATTCAGATTGTGTACTTAAATATTACTTGGGCATTTGGAAGAGTTTTATAGGCTTTCACTAAGAGACTCCTAATACCCTAAGATAGAGTTGCAACTGAAGCCTGGACTCCCTGTTCACTCAAGCCTTTCTGAAAATGTCACCCCAGACCTATTTGGACCCTGTAAGAGAATAATGGGAAAATAAAAATAATGATTTCCTGTGACAACCGCTGAGAAATTTATCCAAGTAATTGCATAACAGCAAGAGAAAATGTGGTACACGAGAAAAATATTAGTTTATTTTATTGGGTAAACAATGTCAGTTTCTGTTAAATTACTTAATTCTAAGTGAGACAAGTGGGGCAGACCAAGTTCAGGACTGGGGTTTTTGTATGTGTTCACACTCTGAAGCTGCTCTAGGGCTGACGAAGCAGTAGCAACTTTAACAATTTGTCACAGAGAAAGCAATGACTTCTGTTCTGAGAAGAAGTGACAATTGAAATATACACACAGATTCCAAAAGAATGCCAAATTCACCCAGATTTAATCTGTATCCACAACCATATTTTGATTTTTTTTTTCTTTGTGGAGAGGTGTGGTCTGAGCACACAGCTCTGCTGGGTAGTGCTGAGTTCTTTTCACAACTGGCCTATTAGGTTCCTCTGTGTTTCTGGGTAGGTCACTTAATATATCTCTTTGTGTTTAAAATAGAGCTATGAATACTTAACTTGGAGAAGTATTGCTGAAACTAATACTTTGAAGCCTCTTAAACTTAAAAAAGACTATATACTATGCTGTCATTTTCAGACTTTCCACTCCTTTTGTGATTATTTTTGGCAACAATTATTGGATCAGTTATCCAGGTGGTTTTAGAAGCAGCTAAAGAGAAGCTGTAACCCTGTAAAATTATGAACTGAATTCTTCCTGTGTCTGCATTTGAAACAAACAGTTAGCTTGTGTCTGTGAAAAGGAGAGTTTTCTAATCGTACATTATATTATCTCAATGAATGAGGAATAGTTTTGAAACAGAGCATACTTACGCTTTCTTTCCGCAGATGGCTCCCTGGTACCAGTTTCTGCAGGTGCTGAAGTATTTCTTTTTTGTTCCCATAACTTGCTGAAGGGCACAGACATTTGGGCTATGGGTGGGAGCGAGAAACATTTTAAAAAGAATTTTCTGTACATCTTTGGAAAACTTTTATATAAAATAGTGGCAAATACCATTTCTGTTGAGTTAGAGTAAGAAATGAACATCTGGCTTCAGTTCCCAGGGCAGGTGTGTTTTCAAGCAACCACAGTGCAAGTTCCCGGGACTGCCCAGCTGGGTTCCTCGGCAAGCCCACCCTCCCAACAGGGACAGAAGATTCCCCTCTGTTCTGGTTTGACCCTCTGTCTCTGATGGGCAGTGATCGCCAGCTGTGCCTAGTCAAGTCTCAATATGCCTTACGTTTCTCCCTTCCCCCTGCAAAGTGAATTAATTACCAGCCGCCAGGGACTGAGCTGTGAATACCATCAGGCTCTTTTCATTAAAGTTTTTGTCTTGTACACATCTGTGCAGCTGAAGGTCATGGGGAGATGGGGAAGAAAAGTGCCTTGTTCTTTATGTAGAAGGAAACCCTGTCTTCTGTAAATCAATCAGCTATTTTGATTACCAACCATTTGGAGTACCGCAGGCACCTAAGTAAACATTCTGGGAATTACTGGGGACCAAAGGGTAAATTGGCATGTAAATAAAAGGAGTCACAGATTTCAAACGAGGAATACTTTTTGCTTAGCATGTTAGTGTACAGAAGAGGAGTTTCTTAAGGGCAAATTCCATGGAGCAAAGGCATTTTGTCACTAATTTTTATACTTCTACAATTAAAAAAATTCATCAGTTCAAAAGTTAGAACACATATTTTACATAAGTGGGAAGCCAGTGAGGTTTTTTATTTGAAAAGCTCAGTGTGTGTGTGTATGTGTGTGTGTAGCAGGCAGAGGGAATTCAACAAAGAAAGATAGGATGGCAAACAAATCTTATTCACAGAACATTTTTTATTTAAGAAGACTGAAGGAAAATATGTTTAGACACATGTGTCTCCCTGACACCAGCTGTTCAAATTATTTCCATGTCTCCGAGCAGCCTGGCTTGTAAGCATTGTCTTTTGGGTACCCTGCCGAGCAGCTTGCCGCATTGCTCTAGTGGGAACAGAAGTTTTACAAAGGGCCCCCAGTATATATTCCCATGTTAGAAAGCATTTAAACAGAGTTCATTAGGATGGAATAAAGAGAGCAAATACTGTGGCATAGGTGTCAACTCTATTCAAACATTTGAAAACATATATTAAACATATCTGACGTCCCATTACATTAATTGTGAACTGTAATTAACTTCAGTGATTCTAAAACACATATATTTTATTCATTGAGAAGTGGTGATTTTAGACTTTTCCACATTTTATGAAGTTTAACAGTATTTTGTCTCCTTTTGAAACTCCCCAGAAAGCTTTTTATTTAATAAAATAATAATTCTTGTAAAATTAATTGAGAAAGTTCTACTTGAATGATAGTAAGAATTCATAGTGAAAAATCACATTTAATATAACGTGAGAAGAAAGGGGAGAATAAAGATACACAAGCTCCCTTTTAAAATAGAAATAAAACCCAGCTACTTACCCTTGGTCGCGTGCCCTTATTCGACTATGAGTTAAAATCTTGTCATAGTGAGCAGAAGCAGCTGCTTGTTCAAAAGCAGACAACAAAAAAGTGGAAAAGGTGAATAAGAAAAAGCTCTTCATCTTTAGTCCTCTGTTGCTTCTGGCAAGTCTAGAAGAGAAAACTGGCAAAGGGTCTGGAAAGCTGACAATTTATATACATGTTGGAAGCTGGTGGGAGGGAACCACAGGATCAACCTGAAACTTCGTACCACCCTCCTTAGAACAGCAGCTTTTGCTGCCAGCTTCAGTAACCTAAATTAGTACCATACATTAACCATATAAACCATTTTTTTTTAATCCCCAGTTGACTAATTTCTTCCTTATTACAGAAGGCTTAGCATTTTATTCTGCTGACACAACAGCAGAGAAAGTTTGAGAAGTTTAGACTCTGACTTATGATCTGGTATTTATAGCACTGAAGCATCCAGAAGTCGTGATCATTGTGTGTGATTTTGTTCAAACCCAGAGGAAGTTGTTGCCTGTTCCCATAAGAACTGCACTGTTTTCCTTTGTTTTCCATGTCCTCACAGTTATCAGCTATAAGCTGTTTAACTAGTGAAGTTGATGAAAGTTCCAAACAATACTGTTGCCAATAACCTGGAATAGCATTTTTGTCTTGAGAAAAAAAATCTGTATTAACACACATTCTGATTATTAGCTTAAATATTCATTTTAATTCTAATAATAACAGTTACTATTACATAATGCTTTTATTCAGAGCTTTATGTAATCATATAAAAATCACTGAGTATCTGAAAATTTGAATATATACCTTTCTATACCTATTAGTCAGTCCTTGGGAGCCTCTTGTGAAGTAAATGGAAAATGTAATTCCGAGCTGTAAATGAGGGAACTGAGGCAGAAGGGTGAAGTGACAGGCTCAAGCCTCCAGTGAAGTGACAGTCTTAAGGCTCCAGGGACAGTTGGTGTTCGGACTGCAATCCAGGAGTTTGCAATTTTCACGTCAAGGAAAAAATTCTGCCATTTATATAGAAGTGTTTGCATATGAATACAATTTCAAGGTATAGTCTATAGATCATTTCAGAGCTTTATGAAAGTAAGGTGGGTTCTAATGGCAGTACTTTGCAGTAGTTCCTTCCTCCAAACGAGAGCGAGTAGCGAGGTGAATAAGTGGAAATGGATGCAGTATTGGACTGACACACCTGGCACCAACCTCTCATTATAGAACAGACACAAATGGGGCAAAGAGCAGAGGGCAGAGACAATGAGTATTTCGTATGTATCATCATAGGTAAAGGTTATAACTAGGCATAGGTATATATACATTTTATGATTAAGATCATGTCTTACATAACCATAGCACTTCATGGTTTCTAAGGTTAAGAGCAGGGACGTTTGGTCAAATGGTAGGTGGACCTCTTTTCTACTGCGACCTGTACTCATCCTACCTGCAAATGACTCGAGATAGCTCATGGAAACACCAGCATCTCTAGACTCACTGTGAGTGAACTCAGTAAAACTCCGTGCCTGAAACCATCACTGTCAGATCAGCTGATGGAGGTGACGGGTCAACTCTGTGATATATTATTACAAGTTTTAGGAGAATGTCACTGCCACACTCCTTCTATTCCTCTCAGAGCTTTTTATCTCTTTCTGGTCTTTGCAGCGAGAAATACAGTGAGAAATATCACCTCCTAAATGTCTAGCTATGACATTTCAAGCTGCTAATTGGCCTCAGTTGATTACCCTTTGCAGTTCTCAATCTACAGATGAAAAAATTAGAAGTTACTCTGTTAAAGTAACGACAAACTTCAGAAAGTCCCAGAACTGTCCCAGTAACCTGTCTTCTCAGGAGTGCCTCCTTCCTGAGTCTCTCAACTCTCAGCATAGCTTATGTTCTTCTCTTCCACACTTACCATGTAGCATCAAAAAGTGAGTAGAAATTAATGCTGTTGCATGCACTGAGCTCCTGTTGCTTACAGAGCTATCCACCACAGTTAAAGAAGGAGCAATCTGAGCAGGGCAAGTATTTTTATTTCCAGATTTTTCCAGCATTCTGACTAGTGATCCAACCTCAAATCACAGAGAACCCCATTCGTCCTCTGCGTACAGTAGGCTATAATTCTTAAACTGGTAGTTTTTATTAATAATACTTTACTCTTTGTTTCCACTTGTCTTCGATTGTGATAGGAGCTGGACATAATGGGAACAAATAGTGATCCTAAGACCGTTCAGCTTCCCACTTCCAAACATTAATGTTATAAAACTCCCTTTTCCACTTCAGAGGTATAGGAGAAAAGATCTGAAGGATTGTTATATGTCAAACTTAATATCAAACATGGTGGCAGAGGTAATAGGGCAGCACAGAAAGTGGTGATGAAGAAATATGCAAATATAAAGTCATATTAATTAACCAAATTAAAGGATAATCAACATTAAACATTATAGCAACCCTGGTGACATCATTATATTTAATGAGGCAAATGTTAGTAAAAACCAGTCAATGCAGATGTAAAGTTCACTGAAACAAAATAGCATGGTTTAGTCGGCATGGTGGTGTTGGGTTGACGGTTGGACTCGATGATCTTAGAGGTCTTTTCCAACCTCAATGATTCTATGATTCTATGAGGAAAGAAAATAATGATCATAAGCTTGACTTTCTGAAAAAACTCTAAATCACTGAATCAGTTGCTCTGGTGAATGGTGTAAAAATGCACAGATCCTAAAATGGATAAAGCTCATCTTTAACTGGAAATTACTTTTTTGAAAATCATCAACCCAATGGAAATTGCACAAACTTATAATTTAAAAACTTCCATTAAAAAAACCCCAACAAAACAAACAAACAGCAAAAAGCATCAAGAAGAAGAAACAGTCCAACTACATGAATCCTATTCCTCATGTATGTTTATGTTAGCCCAGATATAAAAACAAATAATGAAGCCAGGCTCTGTTTTGCCTGTGATATAATGGTGTGCTGAACAGCACACTAGAGTGATTATCTTCTAATTTGCCAACTAAAATACTGTTCTGGTTAACCAACACTTTATTCAGTTGTGCTCATTGCTACTTTATTTATTTTAATTTGTTCTTTATTTAGCAAGGTGGCTACCCCACCAAATAGCCACCTTAGGTTTTTTCTTCCTTTGGCTAAAAACTTTGTGCAATATTATACTTCCTAAGGGATGTGATGTTGAAATTCTAATTATAAATGTTGAAAATCTAATTATAAAATGCATTAAAACACCTCATGGATGTGAATTATTATTGTACTAACAGGACTTTTTATTATCCACAGCAGAAGAAGCATATCCAAAGAAATATCTGGAACAAGTATAGAACAAATGCTGATTTTCATCTTCCACAAAATGTAAATAGCGTCAAGAAGAAAACGCTAAGGTATCTGCTATTCTGAATTGTTTCTTGTATTTCTCTAGAGACCTCTAGTGGAGACAACTCTGTAAAAGTCATTTTCTCAAAGCTTCGTTAAGTGTTTACACTAAGAATTTATTGTATGATAAAGCAATTTGTTTTATTATTCTTAAAGAGGATTAGTTTAATTATATGATGTAAGAAACCTTTCATTCAAATATTTAGGGGTTTGAATAAGTGCTTTTACATCAAATTGAAGTAACAGAAGCATCTATCTTAGTCACTTGTGGCTAATTCTATTGATGATGTACAGAAATTTAGCAAAGAAGAATGGAAAGAAATTAAAGGTTTTTCAAATACTGTCTTCCCAGTTAAAACCTGAAGATGTTTCAGATAATTTACAATGTGTGTCATGCGTTAGACATATTCTGCTTCTTTATTTTATAACTGCTTTATGTGTTTACTTTTTGTTGTGTGAGTGTGTATGTGCTCAGTGGAAAGAGCAAATGGGCAAAAAAGTTTTAAGATGAAAAGAGAGGCTTCCTCTATGCTGCAGTTGTTTGAATCCTTAGGTTTCCTTGGAAACCTTGATTCAGCAAATTTGGGATTTTTGTCATTAACTTTACTTAGATCAGCAGTTTGCATCTGGAGTAACCTTCAGTGTCTCTTCTTAAAAACTAGTTTGTTTTAAGGAATGCCATTGATATGTACTAGAAGAACCCACACAACCCAGTGTCCTTTTGGACAAACTAAGAGGTTGATGGTAACGTGTATAAGAAATTTAGTGTTTGTAAGTGCAAGGTGATACAACTTAGAAGTAAAGGGTTTAGTTGTAAGAGTTCTGTGCCAGTCACAGCTGGGGTATGTGGCATCTCTGCATATCTGCCTTACAGGAGTGTTGTAAGGGAGCTGCAGTCAGGGAAAAAAATATTTAACACCTGGTGGTTTACTGCAGAACCACTTAGGAACCCCATCAAAAAAGCATGAAAAAGGATGATAAAGCCATGTGAAAAGTCTTCTGTTTCCTTGAGAGTATCTAGCAGAGAACCACTGGGGATAAAGATGTAAAGTGTTATCAGTTTAATTCAGTAAGAATTTGTACCTTCTGGAGATTTAGATCAGACTTTTTTTTTTTAAATAGTGCAGGGCTTACACAGGCTTATTGGAGTTTGCTTGCGGCCACTCGAACACCCCTCTCCCCTCCCCAACTAAGTCATCTGTTCTAATGAAGTGAAGAAACCAAACCACCGTCTTTTATAAATTGCCATGGAAACCAAGTGCCTAATAAAATAATAAAATAATAAAATAATAAAATAATAAAATAATAAAATAATAAAATAATAAAATAATAAAATAATAAAATAATAAAATGCTTGCACTAGTGATAATAATAATAATAATAATACCTTAATGGAAAGTTTGTAGAGGAATAAAATCAAGTTTGGTTTGACTGAAGGTAAGATCCAAAATGTTAAGTATGTTTCCAAGGGGATGGATTATCACCAAAACATTCACTGCAGGATTTCTGATGTAACTGCCTGGCAAAGGTTTACTGCTGTCAGCTCTCTCTCCTTTCCATACCTATTTTAGTGAAGATGAATCCATATACAACTATCACCACAAATGAGAAATGGAAATAAACCTCAAGGAAGTAACTAGGAAGGACTTGATGGTGGGCCCTGTGGAGTGGATGATCGTGAGTGCATGGGTTGATAGTCATAATCAGTCTTGTTGGGAAATTACAATAAAATAGTCCAAGAAGGCTCCTAATTTTTTCCTCCACTATCA